ACGTCATTAAGAGTCGTTTTTAAATGTATTTACTTTGTTACTCACTTTACATCCTGTTGTCCCCCAATCCCTCTTTCCCCCCCAGTTCCACCCTTCCTTTCGTCCCCTCACCCCCGACCTCTTCCTCAGAAAAGGGAAGCTCCCTTTCCCATCCATACCAGGTTACCAAGTGGCGTCAGGACTGATCATGTCTTCTTCCCCTGTGGCCTGATTAAGCAGAGTAGATATATAGCTTAGGCTTCATGTGGGTTCCGTAGCAAGGGTAGTGCAGATCTCATCCGACACAAACTTACTTGCCAGCTTTTTGGTCTTTGCTCTCTGGCAGGACTGCCTTATCAGGCCACAGGGTAAGAGTCATTTTTTTGGCTAAATTCCTTTCACAGAAAAGTAGTATTTGGTTTTATCTTAGATCTGTTGGTTATCTCTTCTCCAGTCTTAATCACCCAAGGAGAGTGGGTGCTATCTCATGGAGAGGGCTTTAAGTTATTTTGTGCCACCATTGTACGACTGTGTCATGTAGTCAGGCCTCTCTTACAAGTTGAAGGTTTGGTACCTGCCTGGTGTTAACATTTCTCCTTTGGTTACATGTGGAGCACTTTCCAGCACCATAAAAGAGTGAAGGCTCTATGGAGACACCAGACCAACATCTCCGTATTTAATAAATTTTATAGGCATGTTCTTCAGCAATAGAGGTTTGCAACTTATAGCCTTGGAAATAGCCTGGGTTGTGATTTTTTTTGGAGTTCCTCATTGGACACCATTGGCCAACGACACAATGTAATCTATTCCCATGTCTAGAAGTTTCATATGGTTACAAAGGGTATCTAGTTAAGTATGTATATCTAGTTAAGTATGTGTCTCTTCCACTATTTGGTTTTGGCAAATCATTTAGATCACACACACACACACATGAGCTTCTGTTAGGTGCTCATACTATTGCAATAATGACCCTTAATATTCACTTTCTTTCCCTGTATCCTGCCCCTTGACCTCCTCTTTCCTCCCCTCCTTATTTAGCCTTTCCATTTCTTCCCTTACAATCACCTCCAATTATAAATGAAAGTGCCTTGAAACTATTATTGGCTGAAATTAAAAATTAGTTTTTTTATTCCAATTTATTATTATTATCATTTTTTACAATTTATTTAGTTTGTATTCTGGCTGTGGTCCCCTCCCTCGTCTCCTCCCAATTCCACCCTCCCTTCCTGTTCTCTCCCTATGCCCCTCCCCATAGTCCACTGTTAGTGGTTAATTAACATCGCATTACACTCCGGATAAAGATTTCTTAAACTATCACATTAAATTGTTTAAGAAAAGCAAAAGCTCCTAAGTATCTTATCAATGTAATTTCAAGACAAGAAATGCACATAAATTTTTGACAAGTGTTTATTTACTCATTTTTGCATATGTATATCTGACACAGGTAACATATTTTGATATGATACTCAGTACATGCCACGCAATACTTCTGGGAGACAAAGGATGACCTCTGATGTGAGTTCCGGACTTCTTCCTTGTTTGAAGCAGTATTTCTTTTGCTGTGTGTTGCTTTGCCACATATTGGGAGCTTGTAGTCTTCCAAGGCATTTCTTTGTCTAATCTCACTGTCCGGTACAATAGGATTACAGATGTGCCACATCTGGCCTTTGAATTGACTTCCCTGGATCTGAACTCAGGTTTTCAGATTTTTATGACAAATAACTTTACAAAAACAAACAAACAAACAAAAACCCATTTAATTAGTTTTATAACAATAATGCATTTGGAAGAAGTTTTTCAATCTTATGTATTGATACAGGTATAATTATACTGTCTTTTGACATCAAAATGAGAATTCTAATTGATTGAAAAGAAATTTCTTGAGTGTATGCTTTTAAAAGTTAAACATACTTTTAAACTCCCTTAGCAATTAGGATGGTCTGGAAGTCCCTATGTCATGTTTACAAACTGATTAAGTTATGCCTATCACAGCAGCATCTCAGCAGAGTGCCAAATGCAGGCAGAGAGCATCAATATGAATTCCACTATGCAGCTAGTGGAATGTGCTCAGAGGTTACCTACCACCAAGTGCCCGACAGCCCTCTGAGTTATATGTGTCCAGGCCTAATTTCTCAAGGCATAATTCTTCTGCCAAAGCTCCAGATGGAAGTCCATTTAATCATAATGTATCTTACAATTATTACAACTGACACTTTGACATTCCATTTTGGCCTGGAAGATTGACCCAGCTGTATAGTATATTATCCTTTCAACATATCTGCTCTAATTTGTGTGGCATGAAAAAAAAATAGCAACTCCAGATTCTTTATCTCAGTGTGTGCATGACAAATAACACCCTAAACTCTGAGTCTTGCTATAAAAAGCAGGTACATCGATGACAGCAGTTTCAATCAAGCCAGTTACCATTCACTCTCACACTGATAGTAGGCACTGGAAGAGATTTGGGACTGGGATAGTTGTCAGATATGGAAGCTAGAGTGCTGCATTCAACATGGAAACACGAATCATGAAATTTAACCAGCATCTGGGCAGACTGCATGCTATTTCCGTTACAGACATGCTTTTCTGTGAGCCACAGTTTGATATCTGTCATTCCATTCCTCTGTTGATGCAACATCTATTTGGCCACTTCTAGCTACTAAGTTAACTAAATTAATCACAGATGTACTCGCTATGAAGAACAACGATAAACTAATCCCTGAGCATGTCCATGAGAACACGATGTTAAAACAAGCAACAACGGCACTCATAACGAAAAGACCTTTCCCTAAAATACAAACCATTAGCAGTCAGGAATTGTGAAGGATATAAAATTTTATCTTTTTGAATGGGGAGGAGGTCCCCCCCATCAGTGGACTTGGAAAGGGGCACGGTGGAGATGAGGGAGGGAGGGAGGGACTGGGAGGGAATGAGGGGGCGGAACACGGCTGGGATACAGAGTTAATAAAATGTAACTGATAAGAAAAAAATAAAATTCAAAAAAAAATTTATCTTTTGACAGTGTCATAGACAGTGACAAAGGAGGTACGATGGGGCCAGAGACAAATGGCTGTTTTAACTGTGACACAGAAAATAGCAGGCTTGAATTTACAATGGTTATCTGCTCACTCCACCTTCATGCAGGAGAACAGAGCAAATTATATGTGGGTCAAAGTTCCACTGTTTAAAGTATGTTCAGACAGAAACTCATCATCAAGCGTGCAGAAATACTGGGAAGGGAGCTCCACCATCAAACAACAGGTATTAAAATGTTAGGGCCAACACAAGGGTTGTAAAACCCTTTTTTATTATTAACGTTTTATTGATTCTTTGTAAGTTTGACACCATGCATCCCAGTCCTGCTCATCTCCCTGTCTCCTATCTGCCCTTTATTATCGCAACCACCCCCACAAACTAACACACACACACTGCATAGAAAAACATCTCATCATGGAAGCTATACTGTGTCACAGTGTTTCCTACAGTATATCCCTCAGTGCACACATATTCATTGCACATCTTCAATGCAAAGAGTCTTTGGTTCTCGTTGGAGAGCTCTTGCTTCTGTGAGGGCATCAATATTAGATTCTCACTGGGGGGACTCGTCTTGGTTATCCTGTTTTTGGCCTTTGTCAACAACAGACACTGGGGATCCTGCAGCTTAGGATCAGAGGGACTGGCCCTTTCATGTGCAGATGATGTAGATTTTTGGGATGGGTCAATTCAGAGTCATGGACCTGGACTTGGTGGGTAGCTGAGCTGGTTGGTCAGCATGTCTGCTGTTCTTTATTAGCACCACCAGGGCGAGTTCACCAGCTGTGCTCAGGATAGGCCACCCAATCCAGCCATCAGAAGGAGGTGGTCAACTCTCCTGCTCTCATGCCCTCAGGCTGGCTCACCCAAACCTGTGTCTCCACAGGTAGACACAGCTCTACTCTACTGTCCAGTCAAGGTCAGGAATGCTCTCCTGAGTGTTACAGTTCTTGAGGGGGCAGGTTTCTTGTTCTCATGCCCTTGGGGCCATCTCCGCTGGCTACTGTAGGTGGTAAGATGAAGGGGGGGGAAGCATCACCCCACACCCATGCCATCTCAAGGCAGAGGAGTGGTAGGACGAGCTTTCCTGTGTTCTTCCCTTTAGAGCTGGCTCACATGTGTCCCCAGCAACAGGGTCAGCTCTGCTGTCCTGCCCTGACATGGTTCAGGGTCTGTTATTACCAGTGTTCTCCAGTTCTCATTATCTTGTGGGCAGCTTTCCTTGTGCCCGAAGTGGCAGGAAGGTGGGAGCATCTCCTCTGTCCTGTGCCATCTCATGGTAGATGAGTGGAAGGGTCAGCTCTCCCACACTCACGCCCTAAGGCAGGCTCACCCACATTCCTCCCACCAGGGACAGCTTTATTGTGCTGCCTGGGTGAATCTCAGCGCCCACTCTCCTGATTTCTGCTGCTGGTGAGAGGTAGACCAGCTCTCCAATGACATGCAACCAGTGAGGAGTGGAGCCAGTTCTTCATAACCCCTGGACATCCATACGATCCCAGGCAGCTTCCTAGACTAGGGATGTCCCCATGTTCTGTAGTGGTAATATGAGCCATGAAAGAAAAATTTGACCTCTATCGCTATATAGCTGAAGACACAGACAGGGCCCTCAGCAGCCGCAGCATCTGCAACCTCACCATGGCCACATAGTAGGGCTAACCACTTACAACATGCTACTCCTCTCCACCCTTGAGTTATGTCTCTCTTCATAATGCTCAAGCTGTCCTGCTTCTCTTTCTCTCCCATCTGTCCACCACTGTGGACACTGTGGAGGATCTTGTTGTAGGCTGGCCACATACCTAGAGGTTCCCTGACTGACAGTTTCTGTCCACCCTGCATAGCATGGTGGCAGGCACCTTTGCTGTAGGATGGAGAGGACAGGTCTGTGGATGTCTTGCCCCGAGTGCATCATGTGGAGTAGTGGAATACAAGCCTGTCTGTCTTTCTTCTCCAGCACTGCACTCTCTGGATTTAATTTGATTAGATTTTTATGTGTCCTACGCATGAAACAACTTTGGCCACCAAACAAGGCATCAAGCTAGGATGAACAAAGGACTACCATCTTCTCTTCCCCTGACTGATATAAGAACAGCACCAAGAACAAAGTGCCTCTTTGCCCATTGCCAGGGTAATTAAAACCCTTCAATAGACAACAGACTTTCTCCAATATTTCTCAGAGAATGTTCTAGGACCTTCTTTGTTTTCTCTTCACCTTATTTTTTTTCTCATTACATCCCCCTTTTCTCTGCCACACCCTTGTCTGCTTCTTTATATTCTCCTGTTTTCTCTTGTTTTGTTTTCTGTTTCCCCCTCTCTTCCCTCACAATCTATTGTTTTTGTGTGATAATGACATTTATGCATTTTAATCACATCATTTTGACTAAAGGAGGAACTAGAAAGTGCTCAGGTGACATATAGGCAGTTAATAGATGAATAGGTATGTGGATAGATGATAGATGTATAGATGATAGAAAATAGGTAGCTAGATACATAGATAGACGCATAGACAGACACATGATGTATAGATAGACGGATAGATATGTGGGTAAGCATATAGATATTTAAATACATGGATAATCAGATAGGTAGACAGATGACAATAGATACAAGGCTCCTTTACAGATTTGGAGACAGATACAAAAAAAAAGGTTTTAATCATATTTAATCATATGTTGGATGTTCTTATAAAATTTCTATGAGTATTCACTTTTTTAATATAATTCAGGGCTAATATCAGGAAGTCATTATTGTTTCACTTTCATCTCTAGAAACTGTTGTTTTCCTCCTTTCCCCAACTTAGTTAAATAGAAAAGAATAGAGTGTGTCATTAAGTGAGATGTTTTAATGAGGGGAAATGTGCTTTTTTTTTCTTCTGAGCAATTTTAGAAAATTGCCTTGTATATCTGAACTAGATAAAAATAATTAGTAAAATATATTTAAGCTAAGTATTTGGAAAATATAAATGATTTTTAGCTAAATCTCTTTCCTTTTCTATTTTAAGGCCTCTGGTTTTGTTGTTACCTCATTTTCAAATTCATTTAAATTGTTTGCTGTCTTAGAAAACGTCCTGTCCTGACACAATAAATGTGTGATGCTTTGTGGTGTATGTGTGTTTAAGTTTCCTATAAATAAACAGCTAAGGACAGACAAGGACAGACCTAAAATTTGGAATCATCATTTCAAGGTCTATCAAGTCTCAGGCCTGTTGCATCAAGGCTCACCTTTTCATTTTCTATATTCATATATGAATACGAGGGAAATTTTAAATTTAGTATTTTTACAAAGCACTCTACTTCACAAAAGTAGATGTGGAGAAAGAAATGTAATGTATATTATATATATATATATATATATATATATATATATATATATGTTTTTTTAATATATTGTCAAACAAACATGCTGAACGATATGCTAGCGAAGGATATATGTTAATTCTTCTGGTTTTGTCTTTTAATCCTGATCTTTTCCAATGCATTCAGATGATAAATCTGACAGAAATTTACAGTTATCACAGATTTTTTTTTTGAACTAAAAATAGGTAAAAATTCTTGTAGCAATTTTGACTATGTCCCGTTGGCCTTTCTATGTCATTTATTTTTATTGAGTAAAAGGAAAGAAGGTAATTTCTCATTTCTGAAATACATTTTATAAGAAAAAAAAAGCTTTTTTCAGAAGATATGGAATATTTATGAACATCTCTACCAATAACATCTTACCTTAAATATAAAATAAATGTCTATATAAAAAAATAAATCAGATTAATTTATTCACATCAGTATTCAGGAAATTGTAGTGTAATTTTTTGACAATGATTTCCTATTTGTTTGGATTAAGCATCACTTAGTAGACACACTCTGGGCATGGCTGCCTACTGAGACCTTTCCAGAGAAGTTTAAAAGTGGAGAAAAGAACCATCTTGAAATCTTATAACACCATCCTGTGTCCTGAGGTTCTAGGGGCAATAAAAAAGAGAAAACAAACTAAGCACCAGCCCTCATCTCTGTTTTCTGACAACGGCTGTAATGACATTACAGGCCTCACATGCCTGCTGCCAAGCCTTCTGATAGCAACATTGACTGTCTTTGCAAACCAGGAGGCAGAATAAAACTTTATTTCTCACTTTGATTTAATCATATTTTTCACATACCAATGAGAAAAAGAGCTAAAAAAGGGAAGTGGTAGGGAGGAGTGAGGCCATTCATGTATTAAACCTGACAATAGCATCCTTAGATCTTTGAAGTGATTTATAGAAAAGAAAATGTGTAACAATTTGCTGTTGTAAGATACAACCCTTTTTAATTTTTTTCTTTATTTTCATATTATTATTATTACTACAATTTATTCACTTTGTATCCTAGCTGTAGCATCCTCCCTCATGTCCTCCTGGTCCTACATGTCGCCCCTCTTCCCCCCAGCCCCAAGTTCTTCCCCTACTACACTGATAGGGTAGCCCTCCTTCCCTACTATCTGACTCTAGTCCCTCATCTCTTCCTAGTCCCACCCTTCTCCCTGACACCCCGCCAAGTCCTTCTCCTAGCCACTGATAGGGGAGGTCCTCCTTCCCTACTATCTAATGGTAGACAGTCTCATTAGGACTGTCTGGATCCTCTTGCTCTGTGGTCTGCTTAGGCCTTCTCGCCAGGGGGAGGTGATCAAAGAGCCTAAGAGGAAAGTTCATAGCACTAAGTGCCTTCTTAAAGAAATTCAAGGCATCTTATACAAGCAACCTAACAACACAACTGAAAGCACTAGAGGAAAAGAAAAAAGAAACAAACAAACACACCCAAGAGGCGTAGACTGCTGGAAATAATCAAACTCAGGGCTGAAATCAATAAATTAGAAACTAAAAGAACAATTTAAAGAATCAACGAAACCAAGAGATGGTTCTTTGAGAAAATCAACAAGATAGACAAACCATTAGCCGAACTAAAAGGCAGAAGGACGTTACCTAAATTAAAGCTATAGCACTTTAAGCAGAGCATACAGGAGTATTCTGCTAGGATTCTGAACCACTAGAATGCTTAGTTTAATGTGGGAAAGGGGAGCCTATTTTCCTCTGAAGATTCAGAGTGGAATAACGATTGTACTAGAAACTGTACCACAGGCCATTCATTTTGTATTCTTTCAAAGGAGCAGCCATAAGTGAGAACGAACTCCACAAGTAATGAGTTAATTTGTTTAGCGGAGGAAAGTTTCAAGACAGGACAGCATTCCTGTTGTGGCACAGTTTTTGCTAGCTGCTCTTAGTTATGTTTACTGTTAGACAGAGCAGCAACTAAGCAGAAAGATATTGAAAATGTGAAGTTTATCTTGGAAGGAAGTGTGAAAGAGCTTAGGGAAGTGGGGTCAAAACAGAAGTAATTGCTAAAGATTAGTGCCATTGAAAAGAAACTTCATGTGTACAAAAGATACACTGACAGAAAGGTATCCTAGTGGTAAGACACTCCTTTCAAAGACTCCAATTTGTAAAAATAAATATTATTTGATAGAAGAGAGTATGAACAAATTATAATACAAAAGCGATCTATGATAGAAAAATAAACACCGAAAAAACTGAGTTTGCACATTTGAGTTTAAGCTTTTATGTGCACTATGGCTGTGGTTTGAGGGAGGCGAACAAGGTTACAAGCTTGGAAGAGAGTTTGTGTTGTTCCATATAGTGTTGATTTTGAATGCAAGCATAAAAATTGGAGAAGTTGCAGGGTCACAGAATAGTGTAACCAAGTCGGAGTCCAGGCCACTACATGACATAAAAGGATTTCCTGCTTGGAGGTCTTTGGAGTCTATTCAGGATACAGTGAAAATAATAGCAAGTTGCAGTGGAAACAGCAGGATGATGGCTATCTCAGTGATGATGTGAGACAACTGTGGAAGAAAGCCCTAGCTATGAAATAGAAATGTACCAAGAGAGGGGTGATAGGCGCTGGAAAAACCGTAGCTGGAGCAGCCATGTTAGTCAGAGCTGTTGAAGCACAATGAATGTCCGTAAAAGCCCAAGGTATTGGACACAGGACTGCACGATTTGGATGTTGCCAGATTCCAGTCTATCTTCAGCTCAATTTTCCCTTGTTCTTCTCTTCCTTTCCATTTGAAATGAAATACTACATATGTCATCACTTAGTAGGGTTATTACATTTATTAAAAAACTATTTTTATACAGCTTATAGTAAAGAAATGGCTTGAGCCTCAAATAGGACTCACTTTTATATATTCAAACAATATTAGAACTGTGAACATATATTTATAGGGAAACAGAAAACTTCTTTTCATTATGAGATGTACATGAGATTTTTAAGGACAAGGTTTTCAGCATGCTATGATTTAAAACTTATGTTTACAAATGCAGAGTTGACAAGGTCTAAGCATTTCACAGATAATCTTGGCTGTCTTTGACGTCATTTAGAATCACTTCTCACATAACCTGTGGTTGAGTCAGGAATGGCATTTCTGGACCAGTTCAGTTGAAAAGGGAAGACCCACCCTACAGTGAGTACCGTTGTCTAAATAGATGAGGTCAGATATTGAATAAGAAAAAAAGAGCAACTGGCATGCCAGCATTCATCTCTCTCTGCTTCCTTATTATGTAGGCAATGTGACCTGTTACTTTATACCAGGCTGCTAGGCCTTCCCCAACATATGGATATGCATGGACTTTACATACTCATCAGGAGCCAAAATAAACTTTCCTTATGTTATCTACTCGGGTATTATAGCAACGTGAAAAGTGGTTTCCATTACAAGTTGGTATTCTGGCATGCATTACCCTATCTGGAGTTCAGATTCTTCTTTGTTTTCCAAAACCTCAGCATCATAAAGAGTTTATTTCCTTTATAAAACAATTGCATAGTGTTCCTCCATTCCACTGAGTCTTTTATTTTGATGGCTTACTTAACTCTCAACACTACAGAGTGATACGACAAATAAAATATACCCATAAACACTACAACATAGCATATTGTGATGGGGCTATCATATATTGAACGTAAATCACTGAGAAATACATGTATTTATTTTCACTTTTCTCACAGCCTCTGTTTACTGGGATGTCTGCAGTAAGCTCATTGTAACAGTTGTATTGTAGCTAAAGATGAACAAATTAGAATTAACTCATGACACAGGTTTCACTTTT